GAACTTTCAGGTTGTCCAAAAGTGAAAAGATTCAAATTCTTGTTGGTCAAGAAGGAGGAATTAACAGCGGCGATTACAACTCTGGAGGCGGTGGCGGTACATTTGTAGTGAGAGGAAGCAACACGCCTTTGATAATAGCTGGAGGCGGAGGTGGCTTAGACAGTGTCTCTTCAAGGCATTCAGGATGTGATGCCTCCACAAGCACCACAGGGAATCCTGGGTACAAGTCATGGTCAGGGGGGAGCAATGGACAAGGTGCAAAGACTGCTGATAGCTATTATTCAGGTGAGAGTATATTGTGTAAGGCTCAGAGGCATTTATGATTGTGCTCATTATACAAACTGATAATTATAAAATCAAATTACAATTCAAGAGTCGAGTATCATCGGGGAATGCTCTAGTGTCCGCTTAATGGAGTTATTATTTACAGTAAATAAGGGAACTAATACATTTTGGGACTTTTTGCTACTGTCCGCTTACAGTCAAGTCAAACGGAACCCATCGGAAAGTCGTCAAAAAGTTGTCAAAAAGATGTCAAAATTAATCAAAAACTTTGTCGAGTGGCAACGGTAGCGTCATCTTACACTGTAATACAGGTTTTGACTGTATTATACATTTTGCTCACCATCTCTATTCTCATTACCCTGGGTACCAAAGGTTTGTTTTCTCTCGCTCGTGTTGCGTCGGGATCGCGTCACCGACGCCACGAGCGTCGAAGCCGCGAGAAAAACAATTAGAGAACACCGGAACCGGAAACCGCGCAAGAAAAACCTCTAGACTGCATAACAGTCGTATTTTTTGGCGTTGGTCTGTCGAAACGAATGCGCGCGGTCTTCGGAACGAAACTGTCTGCTGGAGCGAGTGTGAAAACGGAGAGGTGCGAGGCTCGCGCGCTTCGCACGCGATGATCCACGCTTTCGGTGCTTCGCGCCTTGCGACCAGCGATTTAGATTTAAAAAAAACCCGACTGTTTTGCAGTCTAGAAAAGCCTCTGGCACTCAGTGTATATTCTCATTGGCTGAGAAGCATACAGCTAATTTACGCTGGCATCGAATTGACCCGTCATAACTACAGACATGCACTAGGATTTATCATGTTATTACTCGTCATACCTACAGACAATTTGTCAAACCTACAGTGTCAGTTCGATTTACGTCATGCACGTGTACCACGCGTCGTTCGCTTCATTAGCGCCGGCAGCGAAAAATAAATTAAAATACTCCACAATCCGCGAAGGAAAAAAGCTATAAAACGCTGCAAAAGTTAAATTAATTAATTAATACCGAGAAGAAACTAAACATATGCTTGTTCTACTGAAACGCTTGTATACGGGAGGGGTTTGGATCCCCTCCCCCCCCCCCCCCCCCCACCCCGCCCTTGGGTTTTCGTTATTATAAGACATAGTCGAAAGCTAAAAATATAGCAACATTTCAATTTTACATTAATGTGTTTCTAGGCGGTGGTGGTGGCGGTTTTTACTCCAGTGGAAGAAGTGGAAAGAACTTTGGTGGTAGCATTGGAAGAGGTGGAGAAGGGGGCAAGGGTTTTATTCAGGGAGGGGTGGGTGGAAGATCCTTATATAACAATATCTACGGTGGGTTTGGAGGAGGGGCTGGTCCTTATGGAACGGGTGGGTGTGCTGGAGGCGGAGGGGGCTACTCTGGGGGAAGCAGTGGAGGTAATTTCGGTAGCTCCTGTGGGGGAGGGGGAGGATCTTACAATGCTGGAAAAAATCAACAAAAGGAATGTTGTTATAAAACAGCTGGCCATGGTCACGTGACCATTACATTAGTATAGAAAAATCAAACCACGTGCCGCACAATATATTAACTTTAAATTTATTAAGAGCCTCGTACAACCTTATAACAAATGCAGCTCAATCAATCAATCAATCAATCAATCAATCAATCAATTAATCAATCATCAATCAATCAATCAATCACTAATCAATAGACAATTACAGTATTCAATCTCTGATATAGACGACGAATAGAAAAATCCTTTCAGTTTGTGAACGTGGGGTATATCCTCCCCAGTCTGCCATAAACAATCGATACCATTCCACGCTCTCTTTTCTCCGCGCTTTGTGCTTGTTTCGCCATTGATAAAGTGCTTTCCTTTTCCATTCCGCGGAAAACGTACCAATTATCCTTCGAAATAGCGCGGAATATCGTCTGATACTTTTAGCCGACGCCGAGTTTGGCTAAAATCAGACGATGTTCCGCAAGATTGAGCAGGTAATTGTTTTATTATTCAACCAATTGTCAACGAGTCCCAAAATAAAAGCATCGAAATGTCCTAAAAGTCTCACAAACTCAGCAGCGCTTTCCAATATGTCGGACGAGTCTTCTTTTGTGCCCTTCCAAATATGGTAAACTACATATAGCCGAAGATAACTCTCATGTACGGATGACAGATAACAAGGACTTCTTAACCATATATGGGCATATACCGGAAGATAACTCTCATGTAGCGGATGACAGATAACAAGGACTTCTTAACCATATATGGGCATCGTGACAATTTTGTTGAATAATAAAAGTGTGCTATAAATGCCCAGGTAATGGCACGTTCCAGTTAACATATAACTACATTTACTCTCGATGAACAGCGTAACACCTCGCTTGTAATTTTTTTTTTTAAAGAAATTAACCAGGGAATGTAAAAGAACAAAAACTGGCGCAAATAAAGTTTATTAGTATCTTTTAGCATTTTCTAGGTTTTCGTTCCAGAATAGCATTGGTGTTACACTACAAGGTTTGTTATTGGTATTACAGAGTAGGCTCCCCGGGGGACTACCAATATAAAAGTGACGGTGGTGATCGTTGTACCTTTTAAAGGGGTTAAAATTCGTGGTTTGGCACCGCCTGGAGTGTTTAATCTAAAATGACCACAGTTAGAGTTATCCCGGTATTAAGCCGGACAGTTGGTACCTCTATAGGAGTGAAAATGATTCGACCACACCCACTAAGCGAGATTTTGGTATCTTTAAGGGGCTCCTTTCAAAATTTCCGACGATTGCCGCTGTCACCTTTGTATGGGATGACTCCCCCCCCCCCCCCCCCCCCCCCCCCCCGGGAGATCGAGTAGGATTAGTAACTTACTCTTGACCATGGCCTTGTAAGGGAAGGTTATGTTAGGGCATATTTAGGGTCTAATTTGAAAATGGGTCAAACATAAAGGTGCAATCTGATTAAGGTGATGCTGTTCGGGTGAACTTCAAACATAATACAGAGAGCAGTGGAGTAACATTATGAATACATAAATTCTCCTTACTGGTCTCTATAGACTTGTTACAGTACTAGTTGGGAGAAGTTAATTGAATCTTGATATCATGTTCCTCAAATCACTGTATGGAGTTTTTAGAGTTAATCGGTGCAAGCCCAGAAAGGCTACCTCGAACGGTGGAGTAACATGATTAAGCTTATTATTTCAGAGTTAAACAAAGACAATTCCCCTATTGGTGTTAACAAGACTCGCTAATTTGTTATTTGTTGTTCTCTGAAAATATCTTATTGGGTATTATATAGCAAGATGCTATTGCCATTCGCTATTTTTTTTATTGATTTTTGGACAACCTTTTGTCGTCTTTCTGTTGGTTTTTCACACTTTTTAACCGATCAAAGAACCAACATCTGCACGTGCAGTCAGTCTATGCTGTGATAGGTTAACTTCAATGGGATAACTTCATGTAAAAAAATGATTCAAACAGTTTTATAGCGTGGCGGCAGTGGTACTTTCTACACTATTCATTATCTCGCGCTTATTAATCTAACGACTCGTTTTACACCTGAGGTAAATGGTTTAAAGTTATTTAGTTAAAGAGGGTTTACATATAAATGTTGTTTAATGAGGGTATAGTTAATAGAGGGGAATGGTTATGAGGCCCGGCAAACTTCAAAGGAGCAAATAAAGATGCCAAGATTAATGTTGGAAGGTCCACGACCGACCGTGCACAATCTTTTGTTTTGTGCTCACACACTATGGTTGAATTACGTTACCGAAACGTTTTCTATTGGTTAGTTACTCGGACACAACTCAAAACTATTGTGTTTTGTGCACGGTCAAGGCCAAAAAAGCGAACAAAAACATGAAACAAAGAACTTTGTCAGGCTTCATAACTATTTCCCTTTATCAACTCAGATGAGGGTTATTGAAAGTTCCTAAGTGGGGTTTTATTTTAACATAAAATGTAGCTTTTCAGTTTCTACAACTGATTTTATTCTTAAACTATTTTATCTAAACATAGATTAGTTTGTGTAAACGGGGTATTATAAGCTGTTACAGCTGTGTAGCTGATACTGGAAACTTAGTGTGCTGCAGCTATCAATAAAAAAGGTTTCCAGTACATTGTTTTGTTTGTGTTATAACAAATATACAATACAGTAAAAACCCGCATATAAGAAACTGTGGATTAAACCCCTAATATATAAGAACCAATTCAGCCTGACAAATGAAGCAGGTTCTTATATGGAAAAATTAGGAAAACTCGGAAAACACAGGCTTAGACCAAAATGTACTTTGGAGGTCCATAATCACAATGTACAGTATAAATGGATACACCCATATTTCATTGCTTTTATGGCCAGCAGCAAACCGTAATTACCCTGTAAAAAATCAACAATAAGAACCTATTTAATATAAGAACCTAAACAGCCAGATCTCTAACTAGGCATCCGATATGTACGAAACTGATTTCAGCCTCCCTTGGAAAAATAGGGGTTCTTGTATGCGGGTTTTTACTGTTAGCATTATGAATAAGTTGTTATCTGTTCAATCACTGCGCGCGAAATGACGGAACAATTGCAGGCCAAGCAACAGTCACCGTTTAGGCGAGGGCATGTCACGTGTACCGTAGCTGCCATAGTCTGCTAACAGACCCTCCTTAAGATTGTTGTGCGAGCGGACGAAACTAGACACCTCTCTACTATCTCAGAGGAACTGCTTGCACCGCAGTTATGTAATAACAGTTGAAAAAAAAGCCTGTGAAAAAAAAAAAACGGCTTCAATGGGATACGAACCCATTTTGCGATTCTGGTGCAAATGCTCTGCCACTGAGCTATGAAGCCACTGGGAGCTGATCAATTGCGAGTTCTATTTATATCGGGCCCGTCAAGTGGCAAATAAGGGATGATGAATAAATAAATCATATATGACATGCGCGGTGGAAAGAACAAAATATATATTAGCTTTGCAGTAATTATATTACACGCGCTCTGATTGGTTAAAACAGCGTGCTTTATGAGAGTGCGATGCTCACGCCATCCGCCGAGTTTGTTTTGAAAATAAGGCGAATTGTGAGGAAAATCAGAGATTTTTATCATAAAACAAATATAAATGCCTCAAATGTGCTCTGTTCTATTATAAAGCACTTAGGAAGCGGCGAGAGCACTCTAGAAGTAGGGAGAAACACTCGCCTATCGTCTCGTGTTCCCCCTGCACTTTCTTTCGTGCTCTCGCCGCTTCCTACGTGCTTTATAACCGAACAGAGCACAGATGAGGCTTTTTTATTTGTTAAATCATATTTATTATTTCAACAGCCCCCAATTTTAAAATTTTCCTGATCATTTTACAAGTTAAAAGACACTCAATTATTCAACTCTCGAACATAGGTTATGTTCTGATAGTCAACCTCGTGATATATTGAATATCCCTTATGCATGATTACGTCAGATTAGCTAATTTCACCACCAAGCCTCGCTTTCAAAGTCCAAACTTGAACACATTCCCAACCTCGTCCCCAGGGCCATCTCCGCTTTCAAGATGGCGGTTGGGCGCGAAGAAGACCCTGGCGAACAGCAGATCACGTGACCACAAAATTAGCCAATCGCGAGCCCGCCACCATTTTGAAACAATCAAAATCTCCAATATTTTTTGGCGACACGTGACCTGCTGTTCGCCAGGGTCTTCCTCGCGCCGCCATTTTGAACGTTGAGTAGACTCTGGGGACGAGGTTGACGAATTCCCAAAACAGCAAAGATGCAAAGAATACTCACGTGTAGACAGTATACACGTGACAGAGGTTGAGAAAAATTTCGTGAAAACGAGGCTTGGGGTAAACTTTTTGACCAACTGACGTAATCACGCATAACTTGAACACGAAGGCGCACTATAAATGGACACTCTAGCTACTCACAAAGGCCATAGGGTCCTATAGCTTTAAAAAATATTGTGACGCGTTTCCTTTGTACATTTCAAATCCACTGTGTACACAAACAAATCTTTTAATTTCTCAAGTTTCCTTGTTTGGTCCTTTTGAAACTTTTAGAAAAGATAACTGAATTTCGCGGGACTGCGTTAGCGAAAACACGCACGCTAATTATGACAATAATATATTGTGTCAAAATTCATATCTCGTCCCCAGAAGGCCACGATCCTTTTGGTCAGCACCAAGAATCGACACCTCTGGCCGGTTCAAAAACCGGAAGTACGTGAATCTCGTACTAACCGTCAAATCTGACAAATCTGATTGGCTGGAGAATACAGAACGAGTACTCTGAGCATGCGCAACAAATTGGGACCGGCCAGAAGTCTGGATTCTTGGTGCTGACCAAAAGGATCGCGGCCTCTGGGGACAAGAATGTTCAAAATTCTGTCTTTTTTTAGCTAGTTACATGTATTTTGTTGCAAACCGAAATAGTTCTGCTGGGTTTAGGATAATTAGAAAAGAAAACCGAGGAATTTTTCTTCTTTAATTTTGACAGCTATTGTCTCGTTCGCTGTTGATTCACAAATGAGCCCTGGTATTCCTGGGAAGCTCACTTTTATAGTGCACCTTCGTGTTTTCTTTTTTAAGTTTTATTCATGTAGTGATATGATAGCTACGTACAAAACGCATTTCAAGCACGTGCTTTATCACGTGACGGCACAGGCATGTTCAAAGGCAGTCACATTCCCGGGCAATGACGAAGAACCACGTTATCTCCTTCCTTGGAATACAGAACCCCCAACTGAACTACTAAAGCTTGGCATGGTCTCTACCGCAGTCAAATGTCGTAACAACAAACAACTTCAACAATACACCGTGTTTTAAACACGTATACCGTTTTTTGGCAAAACATTAAAAAAATGGTGAATCAACAGAATGCTAGAAATATACTGAACTGTGTTTTGAAAAGTCTAAACATCTCCTTTTACCTACTTTTGTTTCCTTTCGCAAATTTCTTTTTCTCGCATATTTTGCGAGACACCGGATTGATGCAATGGTTTTCTTTTAAATTTTGCGCGGGAAATTGGCGCGCGAGCGATCGGAATTTACACCTTTGCGCATGATCAAGCATTTGATTGCGGTGAGGGCTTAAGGTGAGGGCGTGGTCATGGTCACATTCTCTTTTTGGTCCCAGTATTCTGCTGCCGTCGAGCGAACGATTGCGTGATTGTTGACGCTCGCGCAGTCCTGGGCATTGAACGAGAGTGGAGCGATGAGCAGATCGCCGAAGACGTGTTTGGCATTTATTTGAAAATCGCGCCCTGAGCGCAGGTTGGATGGGTCAGCGGCTGTCCTGTTGTTTCATCTTCGTCGTCTTATAACCTCGGCGAATACGGCTGAAATATATGAAGAAACAAATGTTGATCGCCTTTGACAATTACTTAATTCGCGCAAAAAATCAATGAAAAGAAAGGAAACCTTTAAGGGCTGACCAACATCCCCAAGTCATAAAAATATACGTTTTTATACCAAAAAAAAAGTATATTACAATCAACTTAGACTGCAAGAAGTCGGTTTTTCGTATGATTCTTAGCGCGAGCGGAAACGTAGAGGGACCCAGTCTCCACCGAACCGCGCCTGTGATTCTAGCGGGATCTCGGCTTCATTGCATTGCTCAACACTCGATTTTTCTGGTATTCCTTTCTTCGATCTCGCGTCATAGAAACTTAGGAAAAGAAAGAGACTGCTCCGTAATCAACAATCAACTCACTTTATTAAGAAAACTCGACTATCCTGCACACACATGCAATCGCCTACCATCGAGTATACAAAACGCATAAACGGTCCGTTCCTGCCACTGTATATCGATACTTCTGGATCAGTTCTCCGTGTCCTGGTGTCAGCCATCACCTCAATCCGAACTCCATGCAGGTTTTGTGTACATGTCTGGGGAGCGCAGCCATCGATCCACAGCTGAGGCGGACCATAAACACGATCCAGGTTGACAATCAAATTTCCTGTCATCTTATCGTAAAGGTCCAGTTTGACTGGATAATCTGGATTTAAATCTTGGCTCGCGGAGTGGACAACTTTTACCCGGCGGATCTCAGCCTTTGCATGACTTGTTTGCTCATAGCAATAAAGTAGTTTCAAACTTTAGTTTTTGGTCATTATTAGAGCCCATGTTCGGTTTCTACTACATAAGTATCATGGACACCCAACGGATGGATTCCGTAGAATATCTATTCGGAATGCCTATAATCGCCTCGGCTATTCGGATTAAAGTGTGATGTAGAAAAAAACCTCACCTCGAACTTCGTAATATGGGAAACTTTAACCCTATTCTGGCAGATAGTGCCCCCCCCCCCCCCCCCTATGTATCTCGAAAGTATTGACGCTATGAAAATGAAACTTACATGGTGTGTAAAGCATCCGATAATCTTTATTTTAGTGACAGTCACGTGTCAATTATGACGTCATACACGCCATAATGACGTCATACGTTAAAAATCCGCCATCTTGGATCCTAAATCTTGGATTTCTAAATTGTTCAGAAATGTCAGAAATCTCCAAATTTGCTTTGAAAAAATCAAGAAAAATATAAATATGCTAAAACGGCAAAGATTTTGGAAGGATTTCATCGTAAAAAGCAAAATGTTTATGAAAACTGAAAATAAAGCTAAAAATCAACAAATTTGGGTAAAACGATCTGTATCTCAAAAGTGTTTGTGCTATAAAATGAAACTTATGTGGTGAGTAAAGCATTCAAACATGTTTATTTTAGTGGCAATTACGAATCAATTATGATATCATATCACGCCGAAATAACGTCAAACTTTAAACCTGTCCGCCATCTTGGATCCGCCATCTTGGATTTTTCAATTGTTCTGAAATGTCAGAAAATCACCAAATTTGATTTGAGAAAATCGAAAACAATATAAAGGATGCAAAAATTGCAAAGATTTTGGAAGAAACTCTTCGTAAAAAGCGAAAATCTCATGAAAATGGACATTTAAACTGAAAATACCACATTTGGCTAAAACGGCCTGTCAAAACGTGGTTGCCATGGAAACATCAAGTCACGTGATCAAAAAATTGGCACACCAAAATGTTCCCAGATAATTTTTAGGAAAAGTCATAAAGTTTGGCTATGATTGCTTGCATGCTCTTTAAGTACGATAAATTTGAAGTCAGCGCGGGCACTTTCTGCCCCCCCCCCCCCCCCTCCCCCCCAGGCAGAATACGGTTAAAGTTTCCCACATCATTACAGCTGGTTTAAAATTCCTTTTGTTTTCGCGGAGAAGTAAAAATGTCGTTTTGGGTGCGAAGAAAGGCCAGCTATGACTTTCGGAAAGTCAACAGCAGCTGGTAAATTCGGGTAATATTAAGATTACGATCCAGATATTTTCTCAGCTCCACTTTAATATTCAGCTAAACAATCCCGGCGGACAGATCAAACTGTGTTAGTTAACACAAATATCCCGACATTCCAATTCTTTTGCTTAAATTTAATCATTGAGTGCCCCTGATGTATGTAGACAAGGCAGCCAAGTACCCAGGCGTTCCCTTCCCGCTTACTCGATTTATTCCCAGGTCCTTTACGTGTACTTCGCGCTCGCTCGAGAGAGAACGACTAGGGACTAGGCTGGAGACAAGGCAAAGCATTCTACAACGAACGCTAAGCGCTACAATGTGACGCGAAGTGGTTGAGACACTCTTCAGTAAAAACTACTCGAAATCTTAAAATTACAATGTTTTTGAAACAAATAAAACGATATATTAATTGTAACCACCGTTCGCATTCATTGCGATACCAAAAAAGTAAGGGACATCGTAAATTACAAATTGGAGAGAACTTCAAAGTCGCTTAAAACCGCGCATGATATGGTCAGTAGTCTTATGGAGAACAGAACCAATTGA